ACTCGAACCTGATCTACACCATCATTCGCAAGCGTCAAGTGTTTTATCAACTGGCTAACCTACCTACAGATTCAGCTTCGATCTCAAAGTCGCTTTCAGGAAGAAAAGGAAAAGGTGAGGTTCGATTGCAAACTGTTGTTTACATATCTTTCCGGTCAAGTGCATCGTGATCCGTTCAATTGATTTTTGATTCTTAAAACGAAAATGAACTATTTTTTGGTTGCCAACTTTCATGTTTGATGTTAAACTGCACGATTTTATTGAAATAGTTGAAGCACATTCGTGAATTAAAAGCTTCATCCTTGTTGATTGTAAAAAAAACTAAGTCTTTCAACAGCTGTAGTTTTTTTTTTGGTATGATTTCAGTAAGACAGGCCTTCTCTTCCTCATTTTATCCTTTCCAGCCAGAGAAGAAATGGTGGATCAGCTGAAGAGCCCAACGGCTCCGGTTGCGCCAGAAATTCCTACAGGTAGGTCTCAGTTTGTTCGTAAACTATCTTTGCCTACTCATATGCTGTATATTCCTTTTTAAAGGAACCACAGCTGCTTTGGCCGCCACACCTCAGGTGACGAGCAACCCTTCAAGCTCCGACGTAACAGACGAGAAAGTTGCACCAGGAGAAGGTGGGAACTGACGGTTCTATATAGAAAAGTGGTATTATGGCGCCTCGTTTTGTAGACTGGGTGCCCACAGCTGAATGGGCAGAACAATGGAAATCAAAACTCCCACTCCAAACGATCATGCGTCTTCTACAAGTGTTGGTACCGCAGGTGGAGAAAATATGCATTGACAAGTTAGTTTTATAGGACGCAAGTGTGTTAGTAGCCTTTTGAAGCTATTTCACCTTTTTCCGTTATATGATGACATTGCAGAGGTTTAACTGATGAAAGTGAGATCCTGAAGTTCCTGCAGCATGGTACACTCGTTGGTCTTTTACCAGTGCCGCATCCTATTCTTATAAGGAAATATCAAGCAAATGCTGGGACAAATCACTGGTTCAGGACTTACATGTGGGGAGTGATCTATTTGAGGTAACAATTTCTAACAAAATCCTCAACGATGTACTGGTTATAAGTATGTCCTCCATATAATTTCGAGTCTCCTTTCCAGAAACACTGATCCTCCAATTTGGTACGATACTGAAGTGAAACTGTTCGAGATTCAATAAGATACTCCTAAAAATCTGTGAATTAGTATATGTGTGTTTACTTGCAATCATTTCTTTGTCGTCGTCTTTTCAATTTCATTCTTTAGTCTGTGAGTTGTGATAAGTACTTTTCTATTCCCAAATCCGTCAACCTTTTCTATGTTTTCATAATTTTTGAGAGGTCTACTACAACTTGTAATCTTCCATATCACTATTTATTTGTTTGGAGTTTCCTTTGAGCTAACAAAAATTTTGTGTTTTGTCTTCCTTTTCTTGATTCTCGTAAAGCCATTTCCTTCTATGGGTGCTCTGAAAAATCCAATCAAATTGGACTGTCGTTCTCCATTATTATTTTCAGATAGCGTACGTCGATACACCCTTCTGTCCTTTACGCTCTTCGTGACGTGCTTCTATGCTGAATAAAATCATAAA